GGGAAAGTACCGGACAACAAAACTTTTTTTCAGAGGGTCCAGATCAGGGACTAATACTGTCTAACACATGTATTTCATTAATTTCTTGTATTTGTAATGCATAGCTTTCCAATGCCCTTTCCATTGGAATCATTTTTCTGAGAAGTACAACAGATTAATTTTTTTCTCATAGAAATGCGTGCAGATGTGAAAGTAATTTATAGCTCTCCTTTTGTTTAAGTTAATTTTTTGTCCGCTAGGGGGATCCGAATTCCATGTTTGAACCTGATCCTCCATAGCGGACAATTCTGATCGGTACTTTGATGCTTATCAAGATTTCTAAAAGCAAATTTCTGTTGACGATTTAGTGTTTTTCTCCTATACTCATCCACGTTGGACATCTTGAATATATCAGTGAAATATAAAACGTGACACTGTTTTCAGCATTTTATACAGCTATACAGATAGTTAGTTTAACCTGTAATGAACATCAAGTCACTCTATGTTTGAAACGTCAATATTCTAAATAAATGCGAATAGAAAATAAGTTATATTTGCATTAAAGATGCTGATAGATGTCTTATAGATTATATGTTCCGGGGCAAAACTGAGCGCCCCATCGGGGCAAAACTGAGCGCCCTATACACAAGAAGTGTTCTCATATTATTATCAAAGACATTTAGCCATGGTAGAGTAACAAAAAACAATTTCGGCAAATAAAAACTATTTAATTGTAACAGTATGTACGCAATTTTAACAATTTAGGATTTTCATATGGGGGGGGGGGGGGGGTGCGATGGGTGCGATCATGAGATAGAAGAAGAAAAGAGCCTTATTTTTATACTTGCATGATATCTCCATGAATATTTTGTCTGGCTACAAGCCCTTATGACCCCCCAACTACATATCCCAACAAGGAACAACAAAAAAATCTGATTGGCTCTTTCAAACTACTTCCACTTCCGGTGATTCAGAGGGCAGCACCTCTGCATAGCCACTAATTCCTAGACCCTGTGTGCGAAGGTGTGTGGTCAAGTAGAGGAAGGGGGATCACAGGGGCTTGTGGCTAGACTAATGAAAACTAACCGCATGTGATCTTTTTTACGGAGATGAATAGGCCACCCACCCACAACATTTACTGATTGCTCCTTATAAGTTGAATGAATATTCGACTTGTTGCTCTGATTTATTCTATTAATTTCACCTCGAATCTATAAGAGTCTGGCTATTGGTTTTATCGCGACTGATAATCTTAAGAGATTCAAGGAGATGAAAGACTGGATTACCTGTAAGTTGTCACGGTTACCGGCATCATACGTGTCGATGGTCACAGCACGAGGTCAAATAAGACAGATGTTAGGTTTATACGTTTAAATTGAGTGTTTAACCTCTTTTCTGAAATGTTTGCTTTCAATAAATCATCCTCACTGTCGACCTTGATTGGAATGAATCGGAACACAATTCAGATATACTGATGTTAATCTAATTGATTTCTATTAAAGATTTTCGCCAAATTCATCCTTCAAGATCGGGCCTCGCTGAGCTTATGGAGAGAATTGAAATTCCCTTGTACCACTGGAAAATTAAAACAAGAATATATCAGAATTCCGTATCTAATATGATGACTATAGTTTTCGTTTGGTTAGTGGTTAATGGATGATGATATCATAAATTCCTTATATCGAGTCCAGATCTCTAAGCTTATCTAGAAATACATTATTTCATAATTGGTTCCACAGAATATATCAAATTCAAAAGTATAACCACCTTGCCGCAACCAAAACGAGAAACTTTTAGAAAGGATAGGTATCGATATGGTGAACTGAATTCAACAATGTTTTTCTCTTTAACCAATTATTGGTTTACATTCTGTAAAAAACATGGTCCTTTGAGTAATGTTGACTGATTAGCAATAATTTAATGCAAACATTATTTATATATATTTTATATTAGTGCAATTGTTTTTTGTTCCTTTTTACCAACTCTTGAGAATGAAATAAAATGTCTTTCCGAACCTTATTGTAACAAAATAGCATACGACATTTCTTAGACCTCTCAATATTAAAGTTATACAAAGGAAATTTGGGTTGATTTAACAAATAGTATCCAAAAATAGATAAAATTAAGATAAACCATTTATTTCATTAAAAAAAATACTTTTTTAAAAATCAAACAAACTTTCCTTTGTACAATTACAATATTGAGAGACCAAAACGCGTTGTGTAAATTGGTCATTTTCATTATAACCTCTCTTTATCACTTTCCAAATAAATATAGTCGTATAATCAAGGTAAGGTGTAACTTACATACAAATTTAGAAAATTTGGAAGTATTGGAAGTATTGGAAATAAAGTCAAATTACGTTTCCATCAATAGTATAAGTACTTTCATCGTAGGTTAAGTAAATACAAATTCAAAGGTAAAGGGGCTTTAACACGTAGTTCAATGGGGGAGCTAAGGTTGCCAAACTTATGGAGGGGAGTGTACAATTCACATCTCATGGGTAGCAATATCGTGTGATGGATTTTATAAAATACAAATTGCAAAAATCAGAGACAATTTTTAGTCACCCTGTACTGTCTGAATAAAATGCATTATCACAAAACAAAATATCTCCATTTAATCCTAAATTCATGCAAATTACAAAATCACAGTTAGAGTGAACATTCTTTTGGTAGTTAAACCTCGATATTTTTTCTCCAGGGATTTTTTATTGATTTCCGCGATTTTCTTTAATAAAAGAACATATAAAGATATTTATAAGTGATTTAAAATGCCAATCTAAACAATGGTAAAATGCAGGAAAATCGATCGAGATCAACCAGTACAATTATAATTTGAAATATGGAATAAAAGTAAATTGTTCTAATAATAGAGATGAGCTGATTCTAAATGAAGTGCGTCCCTATCTTCCAAGTAAATGAGATCCGGAATTGAAATATTCCCAACTGAGATGCCAGAAAAATGTCAACGTCATTGTATATTTCTAAGTGAGTTTCCTTATACGGAGGAAACACGTGCACATTTGGGTTCATTGTTTCATGGTGTAGCAGTAGGGTTGGGTTGTTCAAATTATTTTTTCCATGATGTAGTCAAATATTGCATTATAATGAATCAATTTCGAACCAATTTCTTAAGGAGCTCCAAATAGATCATTAGTACTATCTTCTCTACTCGAACAAGGCTTCTATCTTTCAGCAGTATTTTGAAGTAAGTTCAAGAAGCGAAAAGGTGAACGAATTACAGTGTTGAAGGGGTTGTAGAATTTGGGTATGTAAGTCTATGTTCTGATATATATGCACGCATGGTTTGTATTTTCTTTAACAATTTGTATGAAGACTGGGATTGAAGGCAAGTTTCAAAATGTCATCCTAAATTCAATGTTCTAGCCCTTGCAAAATACTGAGCTTATGGTAATGAATTGGTATGGTACAGGGGTTGGACTGGCATCGTCATGGTGCGACGGTGATTTTAAAATCAATACATTGTTAAGTTCAAAATGTTCACCAAATGCGTATTCTATATTTTTTTTACAAAGAAACAAACTGATGGATAAGCCATAAAATATTTGATAACGAATTTTGATTCTATGCTCGTGAAGCGTTCAAATCCAAAGGTCGTCCTTTATAAATATAACTCTACAAAACAAGGTCAAACGTAATTAGATTCAAAACATCAGGTTGTCTTCAAATGGTTGGTTTGACATTGCGAATAAAAATATGGTTTGCTTTTAATACGCTTCTTATAAGAAACTGGGCAGACCTACATGTACATACTAGAAATTCTCCACATGATTTTAGACATGGAAGTAATGTAGAAATAGTAAAAACTGACATCGGATGTAGTATCAGTAGTATGTAGGCTAGTATGTGAAAACTTTCAAGTACAAGGGATGATTCCAAAACTCTAATCTCTAAGTCTCTAATCTATATAAATGTGTTTTATTATAAAACCGTGAAATTATTCCATTTAGTCTTTCTGATAAGATTATGAAATATGGCTTTATGACATTTGTAATAATTCATCAATTAGTCCTCTTTATAGCCGATATTCTTCAAATGGGCACTACAGGATCCGATCTCATCAACCGAATAGTAGGCCTATTGCACATCCACTGATATTGAAAGACATAACTGATGTAGCAAAAGCAATAGGATTAGGCTCCATCTCGATCATGTCCACCGGGGAAGCTTTTAGAGACAATTTAGAATAGTTAACAAGCTCAAGGTTCAACTACTCAGTTTGAATATAAAACAAGAAACCATATGGAATATTAGAGCAAATAACGCAAATAACTCTCTCATGGGATATACATGACACGTATGACAGTCGCGAGGTAGGTGATTTCAGGTGAACCGTACAATGTCTCTATTTCCCGTTGGAATTCGCCACTAACTTTTCATTACCGGCTTGTCATATAAAAGATGAGCTTGAATTCATATATTTACTCAATACTTACCAGGCTGACAGTGGTATCCTAAATATGCATACTATACCGACGGCCAAGATCCAAAGAAAATATTTAGTGAAAACAGAACCCAGAATACATGAAATTCAATAGGTTAAGTAATTTAAGGTGTTATAGCATAGCATAGTATAGCAAAGTTTATAGTTACCATAAGACACAAAACAATCCGCAAAGCAATAGCTTCAATGGCGCTGATAGGTTTTGAAAATTGAGACAATGGCTATTAATAAGGATACCTTAGACGATAACACTCGACACATAACGGAAGAACATTTTTACAACTTTGAGAAAGTCCATAAAACTGTTTGCTTGTAATAGTCTCATGTTGTGCAATTCAGTATTACATTTCTCGGAAATTCTTAGCAGGCGTTGTGGTTTGTTTTCATTTCAATTAGACATAGTAGATATCATTACTATAAGAAAATGTCAAAATAAATGCCGATACGCTAGTTGAAATAAGATATGCATTTGAGTCTCTTCTATCATTTAGTATGACTGACGGAAAGCTATATTCATAACAGGGTTTCATATCAATTTTATTGTGCTTTTTCAGGGTGGAATGATGTCTGAGTACCTGAACGCCAGGAACAATGCGTTGGGAATAGACGTGACGGAGGTCAATCTTAACATGATGGATGGTATTAACGCATCATTTATGAATAACACATATAGTGGAATATATGAAAGTGATTACATGGATAACGACATAATTGATCTCATAATGGCGAATTTTAGAAAAACTCTACAAACTCATGATGATCCACAGAGTATTGTTTTGATTTGTTTATATGTTCCTGTCTTCCTTGGAGCATTTATCGGGAACATATTGGTGCTACTGGTCATATTGACTAACAAGAACATGAAAAGTACAACCAACTATTTCTTGCTAAATCTAGGGGTAGCAGATTTATTAGGTGAGCTATAAAAACTTGTTCGCAGTTTCAAGTCATTAATTTCATCGGAAAATGAACAATAAAAAATAATGGAAAAACAGAAATAATAGTAAAATGGAAATGCAGTCAAGTGTTTAGAGATTACAACCCGTTTAGTGCACTTCGAGTAGCGTATAAATTATGGTACCCATGGGACAACCATAGCGCGTATAATTGGAGGTTCCTCTGGGATAATCCAGCACAAACAAATGATCTAACTTTTGGCCTGTACGAAAATCTTTTTGGCAAAACTTTAGGCAATGACCTGAATGCAGAATGTTATTGGCACAATTTGACACGATTGTTAGTTGATGATTGATCAATTATTTTAACAGCGGCATGTGGCGGGGTGAACCATTTCAAATCGTGGGATCGGATCTCACCTTTCATGCTTTTTAGGGCTGCAAATAAGAATTTAACCATACTTGAAAAAACTAAATCCAGATAAATTAGACTCTTGGAGATCGGGAAGTGGAATAGATTTAAATGTTAATTTTTGGCTAATATGGTCAGGCTATCCTCGATCCCTTCAATTATCATCTTCTGTTCACTTATAATAACTAGATAACGGCAACTCCGCGGAGTAGCAAATCCCAACGAACAAAATATCAATTACCGAATTCCAATCAATTATACTCATTACTTTGGTTGAAAATGAAAAAATTAGATTTTAGAATTGCGAATTCCTGCAAAGCAGCCATTTTGAATTTTCTGAGGTACAAATCTGAAAAATAATACCATAATTGTGATCTACTCCAAAATTCCTTCAATTTGAGTATAATATAGCCATACTTTGAAGGGATCGAAAAATTATTGCGAAATCGTACATTAGACGGCCATTTTGAATTTTACAAGGCTCAAATCAGAAAAAAGATACAATATTTGCAATCTACTCTTAATTGCCTTTCATTTGAGTATAATAAAGCTATACTTCAGAAAGATCTAAAAATTAGCGAAAATTTCTGTTTTCCTGTCCCCCCATACATGGCCCCTGGGGGTCAGGATGAAAAACACGGAATATATGTGAAATAGATAAATGCTGTGAATACACTACCAAAATTTCAAACAATAATATTAATTACTTTGGTTTAGAATGAAAAATTTATGATTTTTGCGAAAAAGTCCCGTCATTTTTAAAGCGGCGGCCATCTTTTTTTTGCGTAAAACTATTCACCAATATACATCTTTCCACTAAATATGAAGAAAATCTGCCAACTAGTATTTGAGTTATCTTCCGGACAGACGGACGGACTGACTGACTGACTGACGGACGGACAGACGGACAGACGGACGGACGGACGGAGGGCTTCACTATATCCCTAACGAACTTCGTTCGTTGGGATAATAACCTAATAATTGTAATATGTCTGGTCCGGTGGGCGGGCCATTATGGTAATTTAAGTAATTCGCTGACATTCAATTCATATGAGAAATGTGTTAATTGTGGTAGAGTCGGGCAACACGCCTACATCTGTATTTCAAAATGGACTGTTGTACCCTACCTAAACATTTGTAGTACCCACTACCCGTAGTAGTATTCTAGCAATCGATTATGAGGACTGGGTATACATAAATTTATTGATCTAGATCTAGTCATCTAACATTCAAAGTACGTAGAGGGGGGGGGGGCAGATGCTTGATGAAATACCAGAAATAAGTTCCTAGTTTATGATATATTGAGAAAGAAAATAGCTCGGGTAGTTCATAGTTTGTGATATTTTGGGGAAAATGGCTTGGGTAGTTCCTTGTCTACGAAATGTTGAGAAAGAAATGGCTTTGGTAGTTCATAGTTTATTATGTCACCACCAAAAAGTGGTGACATATTGTTATGGTCTCCATTTTTGCGACGGCGGTTGGCGATCGGCGAACGGCGGTTCAATGACCTTCTCAAGGTAAAACTGGTTAAAAAAGGTCAAAAAGGTATTTTTTCAACTTGCTTCAAATTGACATTTTTTTCAAAATCATTTACAAGTTCTCAGAAGTTAAAATCTGACTTCAGATTTGAGATTTCACCTTCATGACCTGATCTCAAGGTCAAAAAGGTCAAAAATGTATTTTTTAACTTGCTTCAAATTGACCAATTGATTTTTTCAAAATCATCTACAAATTCTCAGAAGTTCAAATCTGACTTTAGATCTGAGATTTCACCTTCAATGACCTTCTCAGGTTAAAAAAAGATTTTTTCAACTTGCTTCAAATCTGACTTAAGATTTAACTCATAATATTGTGAGCAACTATGTGGTGACAATTTGACATGTTAATGCCTAACTGTAATATATCGAGAAAGAAAATGGATTGAACAGTTCCTAGTCTATTATATGAATGCGAAAGAAAGTGGATTGGGTAGTTCCTAGTCAACGAAATAGTGAGAAAGAAATGGCTTTGGTAGTTTATAGTTTATGATATATTGAGAAAGAAAATAGTTCATAGTCTATCTCAAATTGAGAAAGAAAATAACTTGGCTAGTTCCTAGTCCATGATATCCTGAGAATGTAAATGACTAAGGCAGTTCCTAGTCCATGATATCTTAAGAATGTAAATGACTAAGGCAGTTCCTAGTCCATGATATCTTGAGAATGTTAATGACTTGGGCAGTTCCTAGTCCATGATATCTTGAGAATGTAAATGACTTGGGCAGTTCCCAGTCCATGATATCTTGAGAATGTTAATGACTTGGGCAGTTCCTAGTCCATGATATCTTGAGAATGTAAATGACTTAGGCAGTTCCTAGTCCATGATATCTTAAGAATGTAAATGACTAAGGCAGTTCCTAGTCCATGATATCTTGAGAATGTTAATGACTTGGGCAGTTCCTAGTCCATGATATCTTGAGAATGTTAATGACTAAGGCAGTTCCTAGTCCATGATATCTTAAGAATGTAAATGACTAAGGCAGTTCCTAGTCCATGATATCTTGAGAATGTTAATGACTTGGGCAGTTCCTAGTCCATGATATCTTGAGAATGTTAATGACTTGGGCAGTTCCTAGTCCATGATATCTTGAGAATGTTAATGACTTGGGCAGTTCCTAGTCCATGATATCTTGAGAATGTAAATGACTAAGGCAGTTTCTAGTCCATAATATATTGAGAAAGAAAAGGGCTTGGGTATTATAGTCTATGATATCTCGAGAATGTAAATAATGTGGGCAGTTCCTAGTCTATGATATCTTGAGAATGTTAATGACTTGGGCAGTTCCTAGTCTATGATATCTTGAGAATGTAAATGACTTGGGCGGTTCATAGTCCATGATATATTGGGACAGAAAGGGCTTGAGTAGTTCCTAGTCTATGATGTATTGAGAAAGAAAGTAACTTGGGTAGTTCATAGTCTATGATATCTTGAGAATGTTAATAATGTGGGTAGTTCCTAGTCCATGATATATTGAGAAACAAAATGACTTGGGCAGTTCCTAGTCTATGATATCTTGAGAATGTAAATGACTTGGGTGGTTCATAGTCCATGATATATTCGGACAGAAAGGGCTTGAGTAGTTCCTAGTCTATGATGTATTGAGAAAGAAAGTAACTTGGGTAGTTCATAGTCTATGATATCTTGAGAATGTTAATAATGTGGGTAGTTCCTAGTCCATGATATATTGAGAAAGAAAAGGGCTTGGGCAGTTTCTAGTCTATGATATCTTGAGAATGTAAATGACTTGGGCGGTTCATAGTCCATGATATATTGGGACAGAAAGGGCTTGAGTAGTTCCTAGTCTATGATGTATTGAGAAAGAAAGTAACTTGGGTAGTTCATAGTCTATGATATCTTGAGAATGTTAATAATGTGGGTAGTTCCTAGTCCATGATATATTGAGAAACAAAATGACTTGGGCAGTTCCTAGTCTATGATATCTTGAGAATGTAAATGACTTGGGCGGTTCGTAGGCCATGATATATTGGGACAGAAAGGGGCTTGAGTAGTTCCTAGTCTATGATGTATTGAGAAAGAAAGTAACTTGGCTAGTTCATAGTCAATGATATCTTGAGAAAGAAAAGGGCTTGGGCAGTTCCTAGTCTATGATATCTTGATAATGTAAATGACTTGGGTGGTTCATAGTCCATGATATATTGGGACAGAAAGGGCTTGAGTAGTTCCTAGTCTATGATGTATTGAGAAAGAAAGTAACTTGGGTAGTTCATAGTCTATGATATCTTGAGAATGTTAATAATGTGGGTAGTTCCTAGTCCATGATATATTGAGAAACAAAATGACTTGGGCAGTTCCTAGTCTATGATATTTTGAGAATGTAAATGACTTGGGCGGTTCATAGTCCATGATATATTGGGACAGAAAGGGGCTTGAGTAGTTCCTAGTCTATGATGCATTGAGAAAGAAAGTAACTTGGGTAGTTCATAGTCTATGATATCCTGAGAATGTTAATAATGTGGGTAGTTCCTAGTCCATGATATATTGAGAAAGAAAAGGGCTTGGGCAGTTTCTAGTCTATGATATCTTGAGAATGTAAATGACTTGGGTGGTTCATAGTCCATGATATATTGGGACAGAAAGGGCTTGAGTAGTTCCTAGTCTATGATGTATTGAGAAAGAAAGTAACTTGGGTAGTTCATAGTCTATGATATCTTGAGAATGTTAATAATGTGGGTAGTTCCTAGTCCATGATATATTGAGAAAGAAAAGGGCTTGGGCAGTTCCTAGTCTATGATATCTTGAGAATGTAAATGACTTGGGTGGTTCATAGTCCATGATATATTGGGACAGAAAGGGCTTGAGTAGTTCCTAGTCTATGATGTATTGAGAAAGAAAGTAACTTGGGTAGTTCATAGTCTATGATATATTGAGAATGTTAATAATGTGGGTAGTTCCTAGTCCATGATATATTGAGAAAGAAAAGGGCTTGGGCAGTTTCTAGTCTATGATATCTTGAGAATGTAAATGACTTGGGCGGTTCATAGTCCATGATATATTGTGACAGAAAGGGCTTGAGTAGTTCCTAGTCTATGATGTATTGAGAAAGAAAG